TTCTATCAATATAAGAAAAGGTACAAGACAAGGATGCCCACTATCACCTTTGCTATTTGTATTAATTTTGGAAGTGTTGAACAGAAATATTAGAGATGATAAAAGTATAAAAGGAATGAAAATTAAAAAGAAGAATTTAAATTGCAAGCCTTTGCGGATGATTTGGCCTTTATTTTGGAAGACCCCTTAGACACAGCTCCAAAATTATTGAAAAAGATAGAGACATATGGTGAGGTGGCTGGTTTGAAAATAAACAAAGATAAAACAAAGATCTTGACAAAGAATATGTTATTAAGACAAAGAGAAAAACTGGCAGACCTGTTGAAAATTCAAGTTACGAATAAGGTTAAGTATTTGGGGATACATTTGACATCAAGATGTAGTACGTTAAAAGAGAACAATTATATTAAACTTAAACAACAGATAGCGTTAGACTTGATGAAATGGGGAAACTTACAATTGTCATTAATAGGGAGAATCTCAACAATCAAGATGAATATCCTACCCAGAATCTTATATTTGTTTCAAACAATACCAATTAGGCTTGGGAAAGACTACTTTGAAGATTTAAATAAAATTGTGTTGAAATATATATGGCAAGGTAAGAAAGCGAGAATAAAGTTAAAACTTTTGCAAGATGCTAGAATTAGAGGAGGATTTGGTTTGCCTAATTGGGAGTTGTACTATCAAGCTGCAAATTTGATGTGGGCCAAGGAATGGATAACATTAAGAAAGACTAGATTGTTGACACTAGAAGGACATGATTTGTTGTTGGGCTGGCATGCTTTTTTATGGTATAAGGGAACTAAAACACAGGGCTATTTTAGAAGACATCATATACGGGAGTCTTTGTGGTTAAATTGGGAGAAGATTAAAAGACAATGTTATTTGAAAATTCCAGTTTGGTTATCGACTATTGAAGCATTTTCCTATCCTATAATTTATAAGAAGGAACAAACAGTTAGATATGGGGAAATATTGGATGAAAAGGGTGAACTTAAATCGATGCAAAATTTATAGGAACAAGGTATAAAGATGAATTGGTTTTCATATGCGCAAATACATTCAAGGTATGATGAAGATTTCAAAACAGAAGGATTCTATGATAAATTGACTGATTTAGATAAGATTTTGACAGGTACTGATGAAAAGGTGATTAAAAAATTATATGGTTATTTATTGGAAATTAAGCTAGAGGAAGAACAAGTTAAAGAAACTATGATTGCTTGGGGGAAGAATTTCGGATATGGGATCGATTTAGAGAAATGGCAAAAATTGTGGTCTCAAAATTATAAAATGACAATGTCAACAGCATATAAAGAAAATTTGTATAAGATGTTTTACAGGTGGCACTTTCCCCCCGACAAGAATAGCAAGAATGTTCAAGAACAAATCCAAAAAATGCTGGAAATGTCATCAGATACCTGGCTCATATTACCATATGTGGTGGACTTATGAGGACGCTAGAAAAAATGAGAAAATACCATCGCAGGAAGAAATTATTAGAAAATATTGGAATGTGCTGAAATGAGTAGATTGACATTTGAAATTAGAGAACAAGAGGATAAACAATTTTATAAAATTTGGGACCTTTTCCACCAATGGTTAGATAATAAAATACAATTATAGAATATCTAGAATTCTAGGAAATAATGAATATATTAAGATATATTTCTTTTTTATATATATCATATCTATAATAATGTTTTTAGGATAGATTTGGTATGATTATATGATTTGTTATAAAATAAATTAAGTAAATTATAGTTATCTCGCAAAGTATGAATGAATAAAATTATAGTCAAATGATTGTTTAATAGTGATATCAGGGTATTTAATTTCTGATTGATAATATGAGTTATTATGTAATGTAACTGTAATTGAGACTATGAAATGGATGCACAAAAAACTGGTAAACCAACCGACACACTACTTGTATATTTATGAAAGAAAGCTGGATGTTATGTTTTGTTTGTTTTGTTTGTCTTTAAAAATCAATAAAATTGTTTTTCAAAAAAAAACAATATAAAAAAAAAGTCCAGTGATGAAGCACCCACAGGGCCTGAAGGCCAACTGTTCTACAGGTTAATGTCCTCACTGTTAGGAAGTTTCTCCTTAATTCCAGGTTCCTTCTTTCCTTGATTAGTTTCCATCCATTGTGTCTTGCCCTGCCTTCAGGTGCTTTGGAAAATAAGTTGACCCGCCTCCTTTGTGGCACTTTCTCAAACACTGGACTACTGCTATCATGTCCCCTCTAGTCCCTCTTTTCTGTAAACTAGCAAAACCCAAATCCTACAACTGTTCTTCAGGATTTAGTCTCCAGGCCTTTAATCAACTTATTGCTCTTCTTTGTACTTTTTCTAAAGACTCAACATTTTTTTTGTAATTTGATGACCAAAACTGGATGCAGTATTCCAGATATGGACTTACTAAGGCTTTATAAAGCGGTGCTAATACTTCACATGATTTTGATTCTAGAGTCAAATGTGAGACCACCTGTCCAATAGCAGTTTCTCACACATGGCTTCTCTGTTTTGCCTTTCTTTTTGCAAAATACATCATGACAAGATGTAACATGTTCATATGTTGTTGATCATCTGAGGGTATATTTACCTACATCCCAAAAAGTCCTCCTAGTTGTTGTTTTTTTATGAAGTACTAGGTTAAGCAAAGTCGAACTTGGTTAGTACAGATGGGGCACCAATAGGAAATACTGTGCTTGTTGGTTAGACATGGAAATAATAAATAATAAAAAAATCTCAGAAGAGAGCAGGGGAAGTTCAGTCCGATATTTCTGCCAAGAAAAAAGCTGGTCCATAAGAGAATAACCGAGTTGAAAGGGACCTTGGAGGTCTTCTAGTCCAATCCCTGCTCAGGCAGGAGACTTAATATCATTCCTGATTAATTGCTGTCCCGTCTCCTCTTTAAACCCTTCAATGATGAAGAACTCACAACTTTTGGAGGCAAGCTCTTCCCAAGGAATTAAGCTTAATTTGAAGGAGGATAATTGCGGCCACCACTGTTAAAGCTTGGAGCACCAAAATCTGGGGAGGGAACGGAACACGGAGCAGCAGCTGATATGCTTCAGCCTAGTTGCTTCTCTGCTTCCACATCCGGGAGGAAACCCAACAGCCCTACTTGCTCCCAACCTCTCCTCCGACCTGACCTCTACTCACCTTCCAGCTGCTGCTTCCAACCTGGGAAGGGCGGAAAAACCACTCAGCACACCACCTTCTTCCCATGAGTGATCCGGAAGAAGCAGCTCCTCCTCCCATCCTTTCTAGCTATGCAGTACTCGATGGTTTTAACTCATTGAAGCTCAACCACAGACGACCATTAAGGGCTTTCTAGTCACTACTAAGTGACTGCCATCTCCTGATAGGACACAAAACAACACGCTTGTCTGTCTCTAAAATGTTTGTAAGATGTTTTCACTGATCAAATGTTATCAAATCATTTTTGAGTTCTAGCAATCTATCTTTGCAACTGATCCATGTGCAATAGTGAAATGTGACACTAAAGTAGGTTGTGAAGATTAGCTATAAGCTGAGCCCTCAATGTTTATGAAGTTCTTAGAGAATTTCATAGAGTTGGAAGAGACCAACTCCCCCAGCAGAAGACCCTATTCTGTTCCAGACAAATGGATGTCCAATCTGCTCTTCAAAAACCCCATTGATGGAGCACCCACAACTTCTAGAGGCAAAGCATTTCGAACTGATTGTTCTCTGAAAGGAAAATTTCTCCTTGATTCTAGGTTGGATGTCTGACAAGTCTTCCTCTTTGTGCTGCTTTGAGGGGCATTGGACAATAGGCTTTTTCTGTTTCAGCCCCTCAAATATTGAAAAACTGCTATGATGAAACCCCAGTCCTTCTCTGTGTTAGGCTAGATATATCCAGTTCCTGCAATAGTTCATTGTAGAACTACTTTGGAGTAGACATGAAGAAATTACAAAAAAGAGGGTATTTTCTAAGTCAAAAGGAGAAAATAGAACAATTGTTAAAAATATATGGAAAGTTGTGAAAGTGTGCAAACTGCCATGACACTAGATTGTCAAACCATCAAAAATGGAACAATTTGTAATCCGGAACTCTATCAAGCAGTCCTAGGAGGTCTGTGATGCAGTATTTATCACATACTGTGGCCAGATATTACCGCTTCAGTCAACATTTTAAACCATAGCACATTACAACCTACAAAAAGCACTGGTTGGGAATTAAAAGGATATTGAAAGGGAACCATGGATTTTTAGGATTGCATTTACCACCAACAAGTGAACTGGAATTGAAATGCTTTGTAGATAGTATTTGGGCTGATGATGTACAAGATAGAAAGTCAATGTCAGGATTTGTTATAATGTTAGCAAACATGCTAACTAGTTGGAAATCTAGAAAACAGACTTCAGATGCCATTTCCACAGTGCAGCCCAATTCATAGCATTATAAGAATTGGGTTCACAGATGATGTGGTATATCTGGTTAGTAAAGGATTTAGATATTGAAATGGATTGACCAAGAGGTTTTAGGATTTGGGGGAATAAGACACAACTTTTCTCTTCATTGCTCTCAACTTAAATTTTAAGAAAATCTTTTATTAATAAGAATCAAACAAAGATATTTCATCCCGGACAAATCAGAGAGAATGATTCTAGTGATTTATGGTAAATAAGAAGCCATTCTAAATTTGATACAAATTAAATGGAATAGTAGATTGTTAACAAGGTGCTTTGATGTTTAACTTGGTTGTTGGTTCACCTGTTAATTACAATGCCTTTATAGATCATAGATTAATGTCGAATTGGTTGTCAACAGAGGTAGATTTTATAAATTTTGGGCCTGCTTCAGAAGGGGAGGAAACCAATATTGCTAATATATATTCTAGTGGGGGGATAATAAAAGTAAATCTGTTTTTCTCTTTTTTAATTTTTTCTTTTTATATGTTTTTTCTATTATTCTTTTGATTTTGAAAAATTTCTTTTTGTTTTTGGAGTTTGAACTGTATATTAATATTTTGAATAAAATAACCTTTTGAAAAAATCCCTTAACCACAACTACGTTTATGGTGCTACTGTGGACCTATTTTCGAAACTACCTCTAAATTTATAGAATCATAGCAACATGGGATTGGTTGTATCATGGTGGCCAGAACTTGACACAATATTCTAGATCTGCTATCACCAGTACAGTGTAATGGAACTCTTATCACTGATTCTTGTCCCTGGCACTATGCCCCTGTTGATGCAGCCTGGGACTACATTGGGTTTTTTCAGCAGTGGCAGCGCTATACAGCACAATACTGGCACAAGTGGTAATTAGCATACGGCCCAGGGATACTTGGCCTGCCCTTTTGGGGATTTCTCAGAGGCAGCCATCATTTTCAGTGCACCCACAATTCCTTTATGCAGTCTACAGTCTACTGTAAAACTGAATATTTTGTCCTAGTAACAATGACCCAGAAGCAGCCACCATTTTGATACAGAGGCAGGCATGACAAAATGGCAGCTACTTCCACAAGTCTGCCACATGACCAGGCATGAATCCCAGGCACACTCAAAATAACAGCTGCTTCCATGACAGAGTCATGAAGCCCACAAATGCGTTCTTGCTTTCCTTCACCAACATGAGGTTCAGAGATCTTCGAAAGGTATGGAGAAGGAGGAGGCTGTGATGCCTGGTGGGTTGGGAGTCAGGCCTAACAACTGTAGGGACTGAGTGGGAATAGGAAAATGCCTGTGCGGACCCAAAGGGTGGGTAGTGGAGGCTAGGCCTCCAAGAGATTCCCACAACCCTGAGGTAGTCACTGTTCTGCTTAATGACTTGAACATTTGTTTAACAGCTTCCTCGGGGAGAGAAGGGGATAGGTATTTAAGCAAAGTAATCTCATTTAACAACCACTGCAAGATGCAACCGTAACTGACAGGCCCCATTACAGTTGTATCTAGAGGACTACTTTTATGGTGACTGGGGAATTCTGGGGCTCAAAATATGGAGGACACCAAGGTAGAAGACAGAAATTCCACGTGTGGGAATTCCATAATCAATATACAAAAAACACCACCCAAAAGCCTTTTTGAGGAATTCCACTACTTTTCCAAAAATGAAATTGCTGCTGATAACGAGAAACAGGTTAGTCATTTTCCATTTTCTCTCCACTTACAAATCTAATTCTGAGATATGTTTTCACCTACACTCCTAATGAGAGATGAGAAATGAAATTCAAACTCATCAACTTCCCTCAGTTGGATTTCCATGTGGCCAATAATGAACAATGCATGCCAGAAGCATCATCCACAGAAAGATCTGTCTCCTCTGTGAGTCTTCCGGTATATCACCAGGTTCACATTTCTCCTGTGTCGATTTTCTGATGTCTTACCAAGTTGGAATTGTAACAGAAACGTTTCCCACAATCAGGAAATTCAAAGGGTTTCTCTCCTGTGTAAGTCCTCTGATGGTTCACCAGGACAGAATTTTGACTGAAACTTTTCCTGCTAGTAGGACATTCAACATGTTTCTGTCCTGTGTCTCCTTTGGTGTCTCACCAACTCAGAATTCTGACTGAAACTTTTTCAACAAAGAGGACATTCAAAGGGTTTCTCTCCTGTGTGGGTCCTCTGATGGCTCACCAGGTGGTAATTCTGACTGAAACGTTTCCCGCAAACAGGACATTTAAAGGGTTTCTCTCCTGTGTGAGTCCTTTGATGTTTCACCAGGTTGGAATTCAGACTGAAACTTTTCCCACAAATAGGACATTCAAAAGGTTTCTCTCCTGTGTGAGTCCTCTGATGGCTCACCAGGCTGGAATTCTGACTGAAACATTTTCTACACAAAGGGCATTCAAAGGGCTTTTGTCCTGTGTGAGTCCTCTGATGGCTCACCAGGCTGGAATTCTGACTGA